TTTTTTTTTTTTTTTTTTTAGATAGAGTAAAATACTAGGATACTTCATTTTATACAGATTTTTGAAGGAGTTATCTCTGATTTCTCTCCTTATACTTCACTTGTAAAAAGTACTTTGTGCAATAAACTATATAATTGTCATCAAGAATGTGCAATGAAGTGGAAAGTTATACTGAATTCACTCTTATATTGGAATTCAAATAAAATTATTAAAATCCTTCCTCATACATACCTTAAAGTATACTAAATATCTATTTGGTAACAAAAATGTAATTCAGATTTTGTTAGGTTTGGCAAAATCGGTACACCAAGTAAAGTATAACATGGAGAACTGTAAATAGTTCTCCTTTCTTTCAAATCAGATATTCAGAGTTATATTCACAGAATATAAATAATTGATTTTTATACAAGAAATCAGGTTTGCTCTTCTAAAATCCTATAGCAAAAAAAGGTGCTGCATTTGAAATATTTCCTGCTACCATTTTAACACTAATATGGAAGTAGCAAGACCCCATTAATATACATTGTTACAAAGAAATTACAAATAGGTTATGTGTGAGGGTGAATTTCAATCAACAGTTTCATCAAAGTGATGGATATTCTATTAACAGTCTCATTTTCATCTCACTAGTTTTTCAAAGGAAAGGATTTACTGACCCTGCATGCACCTGGTTTTAATGAGACTTCATTTATGTTTCACCACGAAAATACTAGCATGATTAGATTTTTTTTTAAGTAAATAGAACAAGATAATTTCTATCAATAAAGATACCCTCCAAAAATGCAATTGATTCAATAAAAGAGACCACAAAAATATTTCTTTTCAGTCTTGATATAACTTCTACTAACACACCTCTTGAACTTCATTTAGTTCAAGCTAATGTACGCAAAAAAACATAATTTTAAAAATCATTATTATTTTCTATCTCATACGAAAAGTGAATCAGACCTTTGATATTGATGGGAGTGATAACAGCTGAGAGCTTTTCAGTCTATATATAATTTGAGATAAACATGTTACAGGCAAAACATTATAAATGGTACCAGCTTCCTAGGAAGTAAGAGATAAATGTAAACTAGTCCATGTAACTGAAAATGCAGTAACCCCTGGGATGGCAAATCTCTTTAAGTCTGCAAACCACTGTTGCCCAAAGCAAGTAACCAAATATCTTGAAGTCATGTGATAAAATTTTGGGGAATGAGTCATCTATTTACTTGTATTAGACCAAATTTGTCCGATTCTAGTGCTTCTGTTCAATTTCTCCTGGACAGATGAAAAAGTTTGCATGAGTGAAATGTTACTTACAAGCTTGTAGTGAGAAGATCAAATTTACTGTTGTTCTATTGTTCTGTTTTATTTTATGATAAAAATGCTTATTAACAGTGAATGTGTTTAGCATGGAGAATGAAGTACTGCCATTCATGAGTTTACTGTATATGTTTGTGGATGAACATTGAGGATACTAGCTGATCCCATTTAATCATGATCTTGTGCAATCTTTAACATACTAGTAAATTATATATATATATATACATATACTATAGGAGACAATTCATGCACATAGATGACTGCATGATGAATTAGACTGTTGCACCACCAAAGAATTCAAGCTCCTAGAAAGTAGTTATCAAGTTAGTACCAAATTACATGAGCTCACAAATGGACAGAAAAAGAATTGATCTGCTAACTGATGATCACAGCACACTGTGTGTATATTGTGCTCACAGTCATGTGTTATTGGATTTGGCATGGCAAAAGTGAGGTTCTCAAAAGTTTTCTAATAAAAAATCACCCACAAAAAAGTTTTATCTAACTAAATTTTGCCATTGTTTGGGCAATTCTTGGAGGTATTTGAAGCAAATGGACATGGAAAAGAAAGAACATAAGGAGGAAGGAAGGGCAGTGGACCTAAAGAGAAGGGGGTTAAAAAGAAGGTGCAAGAGAAACTTACTCTAGAGATTTCCTAAAACAGAATGCATATTTTAAAACTTCCCTGAAAAAAAAACCTCAAGAAAACAAAAAAAATCGAACTTGTCAGAATTTTGTAATGAGGTGGCATATTACACATATTTATTTGACTATTTTCTTCTCTGCTGCATGGAGCACATCTGAACTCAATCATCTGGAAAGAAACAGTCTCCAAGTATGGAAATAAGCAATTGTATCTACAAAATGTATCCCCTGTAGGATCCATGCAATCATACACTTAAGGAAAACTTGAAAACATAAGAAATAGTGCTGTGACTCCCTGGGAACTTGTTTAAAATTAGCCTGACCAACTCTAATTGTACAGCATTTATTTGCATACACATAGAGTATTTTGATAATATTTATTCTTATAAATATATGAATATATAGAAACATAAATATTATAAGTAATAAAAAGCATTAATGTTACTGTAACATAAGATCAATTTGTACCAGATGACCTACCAGATGGTAAGACATAATGTTCAATATAATCCACCTAAGAGACACATATTCCTGCTTTGATTGCATCACTTAATTGCATTTTGATAAAAAGCCAGTATGAAGAGAAGTAAGTCACATGTGCCTGAGGCTAAAATGTTTGCAGGCAACTGATAGAACTGTTGTGAGCTTTTCTATAACCATGCTCTATATGTTGGTCCTAAAAAGGTCAGCAGATCAGAGAATGAAAAAGAAAGAGAGGAAAATTAGCTCATGCTAAGAAGCAGTTGAATACTTACTAAAAAAAATTAACTTAGTGAAAGGAGCAAGAACAAACAATGCACAGAAAGACTGTTAGAAATACAACCAAGTCACTATCTACATGTTTCATAAAAGCACTTGATAAAAACATACATTCTTATCTTTCCTGAAATTGTCCACCATCAATAAAATACCTAAAATTCTGTTATAGTCAAAATATTTCTATTTAGGAATCTGGATATTTTCTTCGATAAAAGCTTGCCAGAACCTGGCCAGATTTCTGTTTCTTTTATTTTTTTTATAGATATATATTTTTTCTAGCAGGAGCTGGCACTGTTTGCAGCTTGTCTCTTGCTCTGTTCACACTGATTGCAGTCATGTATTTTCAGAGAATTTTTCCAGGCAGTTCTCTCTATAGAGTTTGCAGCCACTCCAGCCAGCAATCACCAGCTGTGACATTAGATAAGGATCTATGCTGAGACTCTTCTGCACAATTTTGAAAAAAAAAAAAAAAAAAAAGAGATTTTAATTTCTGTGTTTTCTGAAGACTGCATATTCAAGATAGAAATAGAAAATAGCATTTTATTCATCAGTTTGACTCTCCATCTGGAAAAGTTTATGAGGAACCTTTTCTGTCCTGCACAGAACAGATGCCTCACCATGGCTCCTGTGTTAGATTCCATACTTCCATACCTTTTCTGAAGCCCCAGCCTCTTACTTGCCTGGCGAATCCCTCAGCATTTTGGAAGTCCTCTGAGAGGTGAGAGGAAGAGGTTGTACAGGTAGAAGCAGAGAAAGCTGGAGTCTATTAGACTCTATCCAGATACCAGGTTTCTGAAGAAGACAAACAATTTCTTAGGAAAGGAGGGAAGAAGCAAGAGTAACATTCAAAGACCTGCAGTCACCAACATCCACCTTGAGCATTACTGCACATTTTGACTTCTGTACCAATATTCTGAGCTGGGCACTAGAAACGGTAGTACAACCCTGTTGTGGGCTTGTTACTTATAGGAGTTTAAGAATATTCTACTGAGAGGGGAAAAAAAGACTCCCAGGGAAGACCTACCTGAACACGAAGATGCTAACAGAAGCATCAGATTCTGAGATATCCTCAAATGCCCATCTTAAATACCACTTATAACTTTGCCTTTACACTTCTCAGGAGATGGTGCTGATGAGCAGTGTAGTTTTCTTCCTGTTCGGCGCAGTAAAATATGATGAGCATATTGCTTCACTCATCCTGTTGCAAAAAACAATTGCACTCACACTAACATCAGAGTTGTTTAAGTTATAAATGGTATTTAAGATGGGCATGAGCATGAGCTGAGAGAGACTTTTATCCCCTGGAGCACTGTTCTAAAAGTGACATCCACCAGCAAGCTCCACCTATGAGAAATACCTGTGATCCTCTCCTCCCACCATCTCCAATAGCTACAGTAGTGCATCCACAGAAATCCTCAGTAATGCACCCACAAAAACCTGTGAAAGGGATTCACAAAGGGAAGCAATCGTACCCTGAGCCTTGGAAGAGACTATAAACAACACCATAAACAAAGGCCATAAGTTTTTCAATTTTTGACTCCCTTAAGGGAAGAATTTATTTAATAGACAGGGAGAGTTAATGGACCATGCTGTTGCTTGTTGGAGCAGGTGGTTTTGCCTAAACTCCAGGCTAGCTACCTGGAAATCCAAAGAGAGACTGTGCTATCAAAATGCTATCTGGAAAAAGAAACATATATATTAGGAAGTTCAAACTAAACCAAAGTAAAGAGGAAAGTTCTCATACAGTCCTCATAAAGTATGACTATGGAAATATTATCAGTTAACTTTCTCTAGAGTTAACCACAGTTGTGTGCTTTTTTAAAAAAATAAGTGATGTTAATTGTCCTATTCCACATACTAAGAAACAAACAGCATTTGCAGTGCCTGAACAACCAAGATAGCATTTTAAACTCCCATTAAATGCAGAATAGATGAGTTTGGCTCGGTCTCTGAAGTTAAAGGAGACCAAAAAGAAAATTAAGAAAAGAATCCTTAAAATTATTAAGAGATACAGTAATGACTCCATGATTAAAAAAAAAGGACTTTTGGAAAAAGGTCATGAAATTGTATTCTCAGGAACAGAGGTCTTCCCTAAATTTCCCTTTCACTGACTGGTAAACAATAGAAGAAAAAAGGAGAGACTCATCCACTGGCATCTAGGTATGTGAATCATTTCAGGTAGGCTGCATTTAGCCAATTCTCATTAATGTTTCATATAGTTTTAGCATGGCTTCAAATATAGTGGACACACAGTAATTTTCCTTGTAAAAGAGGTAAGCAAAATCCTGAAATGAAAGAAGATAATCCCACAAATAATATATATATGACTGGTTTAAGTTAATATTCATGGAAAATATCCTAAAATTAATATCTCTTGTGAAACAGGAAAATGAGAGACAAAATTAGACAGATTCTCATGATCTCTGTCAACCCTCAAACAACTCATATTTTGTTAATCAAAACACAGAAATCCATTCCCCACCAAAAAAGAAAACAAGCTCAGAAAGGGATGAGATCTCTTATTAAAATATGGCTGCAGCTAAGACTACTCCTATGTTCCACTATGACGTTAAATTTGTGGACTTGATAAAATGGTTTCTACTGCCCTCGCTTTTTCTATACAAGACTGTGGCAAAACTGATTTTGAAGCCCACATAAATGGGACTGAATCACTTTCCTCAAAACATTCTGAACAGCTGTGCAGTAGGGAACAATCTGATTCAAGTTATGAGGGATTTATTATATTGCTCACAACCAATACAAAAAAAAAGTCTAAAAAGTAAGCAAAATGCGTCATATAGATGAACAGTTGATTACAGCTGAACTGGAGTACCTTGCCTCTGGCCTACCTCGCTGGGCTGTGATTCTTTAAAGCCAAGCAATAAGGTAAATGAGTGCTTTCAGTCTATAATTTCACAAATGCCATTTGACTTATTCCTATGGCCCTGAAGCTTTAGTATGAATTATTATTCATTTGTGGGATCCAGCAACGTACCTCTGTTCAGCTCTGCAAGGCTCCTCTCCTCATCAACATTGCCTCATGTTCCTTTCTCACATCTTCTCACTCTCCAAGATTAATGGTTTTAACACAAATAGAAAACATCTTGGATTCCCCTGAGATGAAGAAGAACACAATGAAAACAGAACAGTTTTCACAGAGTGAAGCAAGTTTAAAACTTGGTGATAGACAGGACAAATAACTAACAACAATGTGTTCTCCCTAAGTATAGATTTTTTTTTTTTTTAATGAGGTAATTCATTTCCTCTGTGCCTACTGTAGGAAGTGGAAGTCTGGGTATTTTAAAAAAGTTTTAGCCAAACTTTATCCTTTTAGCTTTGCTGAAACTATTCAACCATTACTTGTCCATGACAGAGTACGGATCAAATAGGCAGTGTTCAAACTTATAGCAGTTACAGTAGTTTCTGTCCCAACAGAGTTACTGTAGTTCAAACTTACCTGGAGATAAGATTGTGACCATCTAGTCCCAATCCAGGGGCAGGACTCCGCATTGATCTCATGGTAATTGAGTAATTGAGTTTAATGTCTTGAGGAATCAGTTATGGAGCAAAAAGAATGAGGTGGAAGAAGGAACACGAAAAGAAGCAGATATTTTTTGAGGAGCTGGCCTTAATCTAGACAAAATGTTTTTTGCAGAAATAGTTGGAACTGACCTTGATGTTGCCAAGGTAGCAACCACTGAGGTGACAGAAGGAAAAATGTGGAGTCATGCTCAAAAGGGATCCAGCAACAAGATAGCAACAAGATACACCAGGGCTGTAGCTGTGGAATAAAGAGCAGTGCAGGTGAAAAACAACAGAATGAATATGATCAGCTGCAGCTGAATGACTGAACTCTTTCAGATGTGTCTGAGCAACTACCAGAACAGATGGCAGAAGTCTGAAGAACTACCTCATGATTTCAGGATTTCCAGAAAAAAAAAGAAAAAAGCTTGGAGCCTTGTAAAACCAACCTTTAACAAGGCTTTGGAAAGCTAAAGCCATATCAAGTACATCCAATGCAAAATAATACAGAGCTGTTACAGAGCTAGAGTTGAGATTTACAGCCCAGTGGCAGAACAAAGAACATCAGCTTTTCAAGACAGCTGTCTTTCAGGAGTGCCACAGATAGCACAAAGACCAAATAATTCTATGAAGGCAAAGTAACTTCAGTAATTGAATCACATGAATATATATGTGCAGTAATAAGACATCGGAACATCAGACCTGTCAAACAGTTCTGATGGGAACAAAAAAAAAAACAAAACAAAATAAACAAACACAAAAGATTTTAGATTATCTATTGCTTAGTGTTAAAGTATTGCTTTCTGGATAGGAAAGTGAAGGTCCAGCAGAACATGTGAAGTGGAAGAGCACATATACTACTTTTACGGTGAAATAATTGATGAAATAAAGGAACATATGAAATAAAGCTTTTTTGATAAAAATGCTCAGTAGCCTCATATTATTCAAACTGTAGTTGATATTTGATTTCTGAGAAATCTGGACTTGTTTACTCATTGGAAAAATTGTATGTACCCTCAATAAATTGTAATTGTTACCTTTAGAAGTGAAAGGCAAGACAACACACTTTAGCTACATAATGCTTCCCTTGAGTACTTGACTTTATTAATATTATCATGAACAAGAATAGAGAAAAAATAAGTTGCTTATTCATAACTTCAATTATACATGTCTTAAATCAAAAACTAGCCATGATGCTCTTTTGCTGTATTTAGGTCATAATGTACTTTTGTAAAACAGAAAAAAAAATGCCACAGAAAACAATACCACAAAACGCAGCTGAAAACAAATGTCAAGAGATACACTTAACATTTGATTGAATCTGAAAACTAGAAGATGTACATATGACACATCTAATCAGCATTAAGCTGATTTTTACCTACAGTATGATTCAAATGCTAAATGATTTTTCTCTATGATTAGAGTGCAGTCTAGCACAACAGTAGAAAAAAAGGAATTTTGCTTGTAGATCTTTCAGTGTAATTAATGTTAAGTACTCTATTTGTTAAGTGTAATTAGTATGGAGTGGAGTTTTATACAAAAGTAAATGGTAACATAATTACAGATGCAAACTGTCTCCTAACACAGAATTAAGTCAAATTTCCTATGCAAAAGAGTTTGTATTATGGTTGATAGATATTCATAAGCAGACAAACTTTATGTCATTTCTCTGCTGAAGACTGAAGAACTAACAATGCGTATCCTCTACAAAGACTTAAATTTGTCACGGCTCATTTGTGACCACAATTTTTTTCTGACTAATGTAACTTTGTGCCCTTTAATTTTGTGATTTAAAGTAGAGTTCTCTCAATTTCTAAGGGACATGAGGTCATTATACATGTGACAGGTATGCTCCTTCCTCCATCTGATTTTTCACAGGTGGTGAAAGATAATTTTCTATTCAAGTGTTAACCACCAGTGGCATTATCCCATCATGGTGGCTGCCTTCCTCATCTCTTCCCTCCTTGGACAATATCCAGCAAGACAATATCCTTGGACAATATCCAGTGCTGATGGCTGCATCCTGCTGGGGGACATTCTGATATTGGAGGAGATGGGTAACATCATAATAGTCAATGGCTAATCGAGCTTGCACAAACCTAAATTTGGCTAATGTGCACAAATGACTATAAGTAATCTTATTCCCATAAATATGGGGGTCAGCGCGAGAACTTGTTGAGCTCTGCTTGCAAGGTAGTGTGCTGCATGCTAGGACCTCCCATCAAGCACGGATGCTTCTCCAGGGCCACAGAATAATAGTATCCTTAAGGTTGGAAGGGATCTTTAGAGATCTCCTTTAGAGTCTAATCCCCCCTGCACTTCAAAAGTAATGGCAATGCTTAGGTTTATAGTACTCCTTTCTTAATGCTCCCAGCACATCTTGGTCAGATTCACACTTTACAGTTACACTTTACAGAATTTACAGTTTTAGAAACTGACTTAAAGATAATTAATTTCAAAGCAGCACAGATCAAGCAATAACAGACATTGGATTTGTATCTATCTGGCTGGATCTACAGTCCAAAAGTACTTACGAATTTATCCAGTTAAAGAGAAGAATTAGTGCAAAATGTATCCACCATCCATGGTAATTTAGCTCTGAGTCAGATCTGTCAAATTTGAGCCAGATCTGGGAAACTTATTATTTGGATTGCTTTAGTTTTTAAGACTAATCCCATTATGTACATACTTTGATTGTATGTGATTGACATTGCAAACTGATTTATAAACTTTTGACCTAAGCCCATGAGCTCAGGATTATGGGCACCAGTTAGGTGTCCACAACTCAGGTGAGGACACAGATAAAAACTCTTTTAAAAATACGTGATATTTATTTTTTTTTTAACTGGAATCAGAGTAGGCAAAATTTAGAGGCAAAATGAAACTTAAGCAAATGCTTTTAAAACAGTAAAAGAAAGTGGTGCTAAAAGGAAACTCCACAGATCCAAGAGAAAAGGTTGAGAAAGTTGAGACATAAAAAAAAGCAAAAACAAACAAAACTTAATCAGTTATTTTATCAGTTATTAAAACTGATAAAAGTGTTTTCATAAGCTTTAAAACAGGATTATCTGCTCTTGCTTCATGTTTCTGTTATTTCAAATGTAGCTAGTTTAGCATATGCTCTCTTCCCTGTCTGTTCATTAGCAGCTCTGCTTTGGGCAAGTATTGTGCAGCTATACCAGTGTTTTAGGTTAGAACTGGCTTGATGCATGCCCTCTTTTTGACCACAAAGAGAACTTCCAGCGGGTAACTAACATACATGTATAGTAACAAAGGTTATAGGCAGTCCAAGAGCTTCTGTGATCTCCTTAAATCTTTCTCTAGACCTCCAGGGGTCATGTGTTGCTTCTCAGCAGCTGTGTGAACACAAAATCACAGGATAACTTTATTTAAAAGCATTACAAAAACATATTCTGTCAAATTAAATAGCATTTACATCAAATTAATCTTGCCAAAGAGATAATGCTGAACTAAAGCAAAATTGTTCCACGCCAATGCTCAGCTACAACTATCGCAACAGACTATAGCAGTCTGCTGGTGTAGATGCACCCTTATCTGCTTTAAGGCTCATAAAGTGGCAAATAACTAAAGGGCTTGCTGCCATTTATTGTTTATGTTGTACCATGCTTAGTGACTAAACTGACAGCAATTAATTGCATTACAAAAATAGAAGGATGGTAGCAATAAACATAAAAATAAACATGATACACTGATTATGAGTTAGTATGTGTTATGCAGAAGAAAGCTAAGTCTCATAGATGCAGAATTCTTAGAAGAAGTCTAAAATCATATGATATAAAGGAGATCCAAGGAAAAGGAGGTCGTTTAAATTCCAGGAATGCTTGGAGGGTCTCAGAGTATTTTAAAGAAACACAACTATAGTGAGATAAGAGACAGTGGTCTCTCTCTCCCATGGCTAATATGATTTATCTATGGTTAAAGTTGCGAAGGAAAAGCTAAGCGATTGTTCATGTTTCACAATGGAGAGCAAATACCACAGGGAGATCTCCTTTTATGTTATTGTTGTTTGACATACTCATAAAAAATATGGAAAATGCGGGGAAGCATGAGCCTTTGAAAGAGGAGGCCTCTTTTATAACTCTCCCCTCAGCCTTAGCTGATGCTTCCTCTAAAAACAAGCAGAATATAGAGAATCTCTTGCATATTGTTACTCTATTTTGATGATTCCTTCTTCCACTTGTGCAATATTCAAGGTATGGGTATTTGTGTATATACTTTTTGCTCTTGCTTTCCCCTCCAGGCACCGAGAAAAGGTTCGGATCATTGGCAAAGTGTCATAATTTTTCTTAAAGTAAAACAAAATAAATAGCAAGCCTGTCCCGGGGCTTCTTGAATTTCAGCTCAGGTTTGTAGAACTATTGCAAATGCTTCCTCTTGGCAGATGAATTATTTTTCATTCAGGCTAGAATCTAGGAACTGAATTATAATAGTGATGCTGAATCATTATTTATTTAATTTAAACACTAATCTGTTCTTCTAATCAGTTTTTATAAAACTCTATAGTGATTTTAACATTTCTTTCTTTTTTTTTCAGAGTTACATTCTGACACAAGTCATTCAATTTTCTTTTAGAATCAAAGCTTTTTCTTTTGAGAAATGTAGTATTGCAAACAAATAAGAGCACTCTAAAATTAGACTTAACTGCAGGACTAAAATAAATTAAAAAGAAATGGCAAACAGTTTCACAGTGTAGATGTTCAATAGCACAAGTTGTACAGGTAAACATTTTATTTTGAGAGAAATTATTATGAAAGTAGGAATGTATATTCATTTTTATCATCTTAGTATTAAGGAACTTTGCAATAAAGGAAACAATGCACACAGTTTTTGGCTGAGAAGTGCTTTGTGTCAGTCTCCTCCATGGAAGTCTTTGTAAGCCTCTATGAGCTCTATTAACTCTCTAAGTACAGTGGATCTCCTTGGAGAGTGAAGTACGATTCTTGGGGGCTGAACTGGCTGTGTGGTGTTCACAGGAAGGTCGGGCAGAGTCAGGAGAGATACCAAGGATGCTCTAGAATTGTATAGAAAGTATGAATTGTATGTCACATGCAAGGGAGAGAGGACAACGGGGTGTGTTAGTACTTGGGCACTTTGCTGGAGGCATGGCCACATTTCTGAGACTGGATGCCTATCTGTGATTGAATCAAGAATATCAGTATATAGCATCAGTATCTTCTGTTTCTTATTAGCACACCTGTATCGCTCTC